ATGTTTTTCGAAATTTGATCTCATTTGCGCTTAAAATAATCACACAGGTTTACGTAAGCCGCGCAATAAAAAGTTCATAATAATTTAGTGTGTACTCTAAGTCACTTATCAAACATTATTTGTCTTTTCAGAGAGGAATCAGATGCATGGACCCCGAAGGACTCCATCCCGCCTAGTAGGTTGTACCCCAAGGTGGTGCCCGAGCGTGCGTGCAAAACGCAAACCCTCGGAAGAGTTCAAATTGCCAAAGGGTGGAGAGACCCTTGGCACGTATACCTAAAGCCTAAAGTGAAGCAACACCGAAGGGTGACCCCGTCCCACTGGGTGCAAAGACCTACGGAAATGCCTACGCTCCGAAGGGTGGACAGACCCTAGGAACGAATCCGCTACTGGTTCACACTTTGGAAGGGGAACCGACCATCGAGGATAAAGAGACGCACAGAGTGAGTTCCGCTGTCTTAAGCACTTGCACCACAACTCAACGTAATTGCTAAGGCTGCTGAAGCAGACTAAATAGTACTCGAAACTACAAACTGTAGAACGATCTACAGTCGCTAGCCACGAACCAATCATACACCCAATTGAAGGATAACCTAATAGAGCATATCCTCCTTCTCTTTGCATGTCAAGGATGAAGGAAGCCGGCGCCTTATCACGGAAAGATCACACAAGGTTCCTTTACCTTAATATTCGGAGGCGAAAATAAATATATTAAAACACTAGAAGAAGCCTACAAACACCTGAAAAACACATATAAGGACTACGTCCCACCTAGACAATGTACACTGGAAACAACACAATGGAGATGACTATGAAGAAGAACAAAGAACCACCGACGCCATAAAAGGCCCAACACCACAACAGGCACCATGGCAAGCCTGCCCGCGGGCATAAATCCGGTACAGTTGAAGCAGAAAAAAAACACGGTGCGGATCACTCACTGGACTGTCCTAGCCAAAAGTCAAGTTGCAGGTATCGTCGCTCCCCGGGTCGGAATCGATTCTAGGTACAAAAATAAGGTTTACATTTTACATTTACCGTGATCCTTACGTCTTATTCAAAGTACTACATGCGCGTCTTCTGTTTCCAGATGTGAAAGCCCTAATGGGTCCGTTGCACCGTCTCCCGCTGCAGCCCCTTGGCCCTCTCCAGCCAGCCAGGGCACAGGCGGCACACGCCCTAGCATAGGCACAGGCGCATAGGCCCAGGCAGAGGCTCCAGTAGAGGCCCAGGACAACGAGCGCCAGCTGGTGGAAGGCCCGCCGCCGAACCCGCACGCCCCTCAACCACTCCCGATCACAGACCCTTACCCAGGTAAGATCAGTTTTCGATTTCGGGACCCTTTTAGTTCCCATAGGGGAATGTTTTGGTGCACATTTTCGATTAGGTACAATTCTGTCCCTAAAACTGGAAAAATTGTGACGCTTTCCACAATTTGTCCAGCTTCAGGGACCAAATTGCATCCCTCCCTGATGTGGACGAAAACGTTATCTTGATAGGAACATGATTGTCTCTCGCAAGCTCCCAAAACGTGTTAAGTGGAGGGTGCACTGACCCTTAATCTAAATAAGAGACAAAATCAAACAATTGGTTTACAATAGTTGTACTCACTTTCAGGATTAATTTAAGGTATAGAACGCCAAAATCATCAAAATACTTTGCAC